CCATGCTCGTCGCTCGACTTATATTCATCGATTGACTTTCGTTCCTGTCTTTAATCATATAGATTTGTCCTTATTGATCTTGTCTTCGATCTTTCTCGTTTCACTTTAAATGTATTAAACTATTTTATCTTTGTCGAATATGCATTCTCTTTTCGACTTAATCGATTCGTTTGATATAGCATCTGACTGAAAGAACTCAGAATATTATAATATACGCTTCAACGTCAGCTTTCTATCAACAAATCGTAAAACTATGAAATGCTATCGAGTTGTGTCTTATTCCACATATGCGTTTAAAAGCTATTTCTGGTAGATCCAGAAAAATTGGGTTTAAACGGGACCGGGACGGGTTTTCCAGTTAGAAAGCGGGACCGGGATCGGGATCCCGAAGAGTATTTTACAGGGACCAGGACCGGAACGGGTTTCATCCAAGCGGGACATAATCGGGATCGGGACGGAAAAACCCGGTCCCGCAGGACCCTAGTGCTATACTTTCATTGAAGTAGGTTAACTAACACGGGCATGCAAGATGAGATTATATTGAAAACAAAATTCAGATGACAAATGGTGAAAATCTAAATATAATATTTATTTTACTTTATTAAACCAATTTCCATCTGGAAGTATTAAATTTTGAAGCTCGTAATTAGTCGAATTCCAAGAACGTTGTAATCGTTTAAGATCAACTGATAATTGTTCAACATTAGGTATACGTTCAATAATATCTTCCAAAAAATCTGCATCATTCAAATGAATATCTAATTGACGTAAAGTTGTACAATAAGATTGTAATCCATCTGAAACTGTTTTTGATCGAAGAGAAGAATGTGATTTTAAACATTGATTAACACGATCAATTATTTCTTTAATATCAAGTTTCAAAGATGTTAATTGACATTGTTCAGAAAATATTTGACATAAAAGTTGTTGAAACATTCTTTCTTGATCTTCTATTTAATTATTAAAAAGAATAAAATTAACATTCAATTTTCATATGTTCTTTTTCAAAAAATTACTGAAAGATTTCCTTCAATGAATTACTATTTACCTTCAATAGAAATATTAGATACTAAATCTCCGATGTCATCAAATATTTCATTAGTATCTTCATGAAATGTTAATAGAAGTTCATCTAACTGATATTTGATCAATGTTGATAAAATTTGAATAATTGGTTGAGATAATAAACATTTAGTTATATAAAGCGATTTAAGATTAGGAAAACAAATTCTTGGTTTATCCTTATGATAAAAAAATTTTTCATAAATAAAATCAAAAGGAATTGAATAAATTCCATCAAAATGCATGGATTTTATATTTGAACAAAGAGATAATGAATTAAATATTAATGGAAATAATATCGATGAACATTTTTTATACGATAAACCTGGTTTATTAAATATAATTCCACATTTGTTTATTGAAAATATCGAGCAAATAAGAGAATTAATGCGTTCATTCATTGACCATAGTGATATTAATATATCATCCCATGATAAATAAGAAAATATATGTAAGAAGATTTCATTTGACAATATTTCTAATTTATTAACCATTTTATCTAAAAATATAATTAAAATATAAAAAAATCATAATAAAGTAATTGTAGTTTTACCATAAATTACCTAGTTTATTAAAAGGGGACAGTTATCATTTCCTAATAATAATTAAAGAGCTAAATATCTCTTGAAATAATCATCTAGATTTAAATTCATATTCAGTTTTTCTTGAGTTTCGAATTTTAATCAAGTTATGTAACGGAAGCAGGCTTACTGATTAGGAAGGAGATGAGGGTGTTTCCCCCAACAAAAATTAAAATAGTGTTCGACTTTCTACCAAAATTCTAAATACTTTCTGGGAGAGTTTTTACAAATGCATGGTAAACTATGACAGAAATCTAGTTTTTTCTAGATCTTTTTTCCTTTTTCTGATAGAAAATCAAATAAAAACACTTTCTGTCAATATTTTCAGACTTTCTATCCTCTTCTACTCTTAAAAAACAATCGACAACCCTGACCAGAAGACACAATACAATAACTTTAAATTAACTTTTATTCTGAATAACTAATAGTTGTAAAATTTCAATAGTAATGAAAAAAAACACTTCTATCTTAATCTATATAATTCTATAAAAAAGAATAATTCTTAATATCCAACTGTCAATAAAGAAAATATATGCATGATGATCAAAAATTTTTTAAATATCAGATATCATAACTTACATATAATTAACTGATCCTGCTTTGAAATAGAAAAGAATTATATTATGAAAAATATCAAATTTCAATGAAGAATATTTAAGTTATTGATAATAACACGATTCATTTTTCGGTATAGAAAAAGAAAAGTAACTACACTCTTTTTTATTTTGAAAAAAAGAAGTGAACATCAGTTGTGTCAGAGAATGTTCAATGCTTGAGTTGTTACCATATTTTATTTGTCAGATAGTTGTGAATGCTAAAAAATATGTTTATATTTTTCTCTCAAAATGAATTCATCTGACGAAAAAGTTCATCACAAACAAACATGACGTAATATTGGACGATATATATATATTTTTTCCTTTCCTTCAATATCTTGTCATTTCATTTCCTACGTTGAAGGAAAAGACAAGAATAGAATGTATCTCAGAATTAAAATAAAAATCTAATGAAGTTTTTTATTATTCCACTCGAAGTCTATTGATATTATAAGAAAGGATAGATAATCATTAGAAGACAAAAGAAATCGCAGATGATGATAATAGCTAGAAGTTTGATTGAAGACTGAGAACTGAATAAAAAATTGAGGGTGTGGGTGTGGATACGAATGTCGATATGCACACTGGTGTGATTGTTCATTCTATATACTCCACACCCACACCCACACCCACACCCACATCACCCACCCACCCTCAACTACGTGATAATTAAAAAAAAGTAAATTCGAAAATAATTCAGTTTCTATTAGAATCTACGAGGATCTACATTAATTAGTTTTTTTTTCTTTTTTGTTCAGATGCTTTTAGTGTTCAATTCTTTTTCATTTTCCAAAAGAATAAATAGTATAAAAAGAAACAGCTCTCTTCGCTTCTAATTAGTTTTAATTTGTTGAGGCAGAGAAACGATAGTGAAAAAGAGAGATATATATAGAAACCGTTCAGTCATGTATTCATTTGATGCATCTGTCACGTCAAGTTTAGAGCTCATATGAATTCTAGGAACTTTCTAGATTCTCATAAAGGTAACTGTAGTGTGAACCGCTTATATTAGTAAAATTATCACTGGATATAATGCTTGTATTACTGTCCTCATTTTCGTTGTTTTTACGATCATACATGAGCTCTACACATGTGTTTCCATATAATCACTCATCCTATCCGAGAATCATCTCTCTAATCTCAATATTGCTGTTTATCTCTTCTAAAAGTCCACTCCACCATTGCTTCTGAATATTTCATCACGTCATGAAGCACGCACAGTCTATAGTCACTTACATTCTAAACCATACGGTCGCTCTCAGCTCGTACTTGTTTGTAAAAACTATGAGACAATAAGAAACTTCATCGTATAGTTAAATTTACTAGTAACTGAGTCAAAATAACCCAGATTAGTCCTACTACAATTAGGTAATTTCACCTGCGATTCGCTTGAGAGTTCTCAGAACTTAACTTAGGGTTCCAAAAATTCAAAGACTAATATTTCTCGAATAAAGTTTTATCTTATCTTTTCAGTAAACCTAATTTCGAAAACATCATTTTTAATCCAACTTATAGATCGACGGTTCTCTTCTTACTGCAGAACACATATTTACATGTTTACAGAAGAATAAGCACATCTAAGTGAACATTAATATATAAAATGTATTTATATACATTCTAACGTCAAAAACAATCAAATACGCTTCACGACTTCAGGTGTATACATGCGTTTAAAATATGTTAAGACGCGTGTTAAAGATAAAAAGAAAACTCATTTTTTCAAAATAAATAACTAATATCGGATTTTTCATAAAATGTCAACAGTTATTTTTTTAAATAACTCACGATTCGCACTTAGCTATCGAACTCGGGTTTTTACCAGTAGAAAAAGAGCAAGCGAGAGACTGTCTATCATTATAAAATTCATATGATCTAAAGAGATTTTTTATGCTTGTTGTCAAAGCGAGAAAGTTTTCGTTTTTAAATTTCACAAGTTTTTCTAGCAACCTAATCTCAAATTACATCAAAATAGAGCCTGAAATATATTGAAGTGATAGTGGAATTTGTGTTTCTTACATTTAATTTCTTTCGAAAAAATGACATAATGATAACATTATTTTGCTAGAAATTTACCACGATTTCAACACATTTTCGGCTGTATTGTGGTGTAATTTGAGCTTAGGTTATTATAAAAACTCGTGCAATGAAGCAGCGAAAACATGTTCACTTTGGGTCTTTTAATTTTACATGGATAGACTGCCCCGTACTTGCCGTCTCTATTAGTGGGTGTGGGGGTGTTGTATAATGCATCCAATATTACACTCTTGGACTGTCAGACTTTTTAAAAACAAAATTTAGAACTTGCCCAAAAAAAGACATATTCCGTAGCAATCAGTTAGATATACAGGTTGCTTTCTTATCACCATGTTATTACCTCTGTAGTATTTTAGTATACGAAAAACTACTCATAGCTATGCAAGTTTAAGAGATTAAGTACTGAGATAAGGAGAGTTAGATATATTTCTCAAAGATTAACATATTAGGGATAGATATAAGGAATCAGTCATATTTATAGACGTGAAAGATTTGATACTGAGTGGCATAGTCAAGATGTTGATGATACTAGAAACGTCTGATAGGTTTTCGCGGGCAGTATTCAACAAATGATTATGCATTTTTTAACTAGGGTTTCCGAGCTTTCAAAAACTCTTGTAGAGTTTCTAATAGAAACAATGTTTTTTTTAGAATTTGACAGAAATTTACAACACAAGATATCATACATAGGAAGTAATTCTTTAGCAAAACATACATAGACGTAAGTATGTCGACATCTGCCGCTTTATCAGTTATACAAAAAGAATTCAGTCGATATTCTGCATTATTAACTATTGGTGGTGGTGTATTTGGGAATATTTGTATTCTCATTTTGTTCAGTCAACATTGGAAAAATTCTTGTGCATTATGTTTGTTATGTGCTGCAGTATTCAATGCTTTTAATATTATTGTTAATTCGTGGTCGAGATTGTATGCTACATTTAGTCCAGATATAACAAACTTCAATGTGGATTTGTGTAGACTACGATTCTATTCTGGTCATGTATGGAGTCAGGTAGGAAGGTATATGATCTGTCTTGCTTGTATAGATCGTTATTTTCTTATCACAAACAATATTCGTTTTCGAATCATTAATCGACCTGTTGTTATACGAAGTATTATTGGAGGTGTCGTTGTTTTTTGGCATGTGGTAGGTATTCATGTGGCTATTCTAACAAAAATTGAAAATGGACTCTGCAGTCAATTTGGTATTTACAATATTATATATTTCATTTATACTATAATTGTTGTTAGTTTCATTCCACCTTTATTAATGATGATCTTCGGTGTACGAGGCTATCTTAGTATGAAGCGTTTGCATGCACGCGTTCAACCGTTAGGCAACGTGGTTGCAGGTAATAACGGTAGTACCATTGCCAATCGTCGAGATCGAGATTTATTACGCATGGTTCTTGTTGAAAGTGCTGTTTATGTGGCGACAAATGCTTTCTTTCCATTCATCAATTTGGAGATTGGAATAACTAATTATATGGGCCTTCAAAAGAGTCCCCTGTATCGTCAAATCGAAGTCTTTTTATCAAATCTAGGATCAGTACTTGTTTACTTCAATAACGCTGTCCCTTTTTATACCTATTTGGCGGCATCAAAAACTTTTCGTAAAGATGTGAAAGAGTTATTTACTAAATTCTGGCGCCGATTGATCGGGTAAATCATACTCAGAATTATACCAACTCGCGCACAAACTTGACTTAATTTCCTTTTGATGTTGTAAGTTTTCTTTTCGCCATGTTAATGTACTTGTTCAGTAAGTCGAAAAATTATCCGGACACTTGTGCTTTTTTTGTTTGTTTTTGTCGTCTTGTAATTATGAAACGAAATAAATGTTGAAGCGTAATACGCTTTATCTTTTAGACGGTGTTTTTCTTCTGAACATACAGACATTGATCTCTAATCTTCTTTAGCTTGTTTAATTTGACGAAATAAGAAAGTAGGGTATACGGATTATGTCCTGACTCAGTATATGTTTGTAATAAATCTCTAGACTCATATATTTATGATATGAAAGATACTATTGTCCTAAAATTTCGCTTTTAGAATTTTTTGTAGTTTTATCTGATACAAACCTCCTCAAGAACGAACAGGGCGTATAAGAACATGTATCGGCTCATCTTTACATTTGTGAATTATAATAAATATGAATTTATTGAGGGTGTCGGTGTGATTGAAAAAGATAAAATCACCCACACCCACACCCCACTTCTACGATATTTTCATTTCATCAATAAAAGATAACGTTTTTACTCTCCTTCTTCAAGATGCATATCAAGAAGAAATAAAAATTCTTCAGACATTGAAAGTCGCGATGGAACTTAGATTTCGAATTCTATCTTCTTGAAAAAATACTAGTATAAGTGCAGAGAATGAATATAGAATTTTTTGAATAAAAAAACCATGATGCCATAGCAAAACCTAAATGTAATTCTCAATGTCCGTCGAGGTTTCCATACTTTTTCCAATTTTCTTTTGCTGTCTCGCCAATTAGAGTTTTATGATGTGGGTGTGGATGTGTGGGTATGAATCGGAGTATTTTATTCATTCCACACCCACACCCACACCCTACTTATCTTTGATAATAAAAAGTAGTGTTCTGAAAATGATCAAACTAAAGAATTTTCATTGGTTAAATCAATAAAGATCGTTAATTTAATATAAATTTTTCTCATAAAAGCAATTTATATTATTATTAATATTGAAATTAAGAAACAGTTTCATAGAAAAGCTGAAACAAGCAAAAACGATTTTAGAAAATTGTTAAATTAATAATATACATATTTTATATTAGTTTATCAAAAAAATCTTTTCGAAACAATATAAAACTTTCAGATTGTCTATTTAAGAACTTTTTTTGTATTTATAAATATTACATATAAGGAAAATATTGTTTTGAAAAATATAAGAATTAATATTTTGTTCAATTATAAATAAATTAAATTAAACAAATATTAAAGTTATATATATATTATTCTTATAATATAATTGTTTTTTTGACAATTATTATAAATAAAATAATAAATAGAAATTTATAATAAAAATGATGAATAATTATCAAAAGTTCTCATATACATAAATAATCAGAATTATCAATTACGAAGGAAAATATTAAATTGATTATTGCACTATCTAAAAATTGTTACAATAAATATGAAAATTTTCATTGAACTTAATCTGTCAAAATGAAATAGTTATATTAATATTAAGATTAAAAATTATTTACATTAGAAATCTAAGTGATTATATAAAAACAAATAAATGAAATCATTAAATATTAAAATAATTTCTTATACAAGTTTTGATTATCTATTTGAGAATATCTTATTATTATTTTCTTCATTTTTTGTCAGTGCAAAGTACACGTCAGTAAAAAAAAGAGAAATGTAATAAAAGAATCACAGAAAAAAATAGCAAGAAACCTGCCAAAATATTAAGGATGCATGTAGATATAGAAGATACTTTTACACCCACATCCATCTTCTGTATAATTTATATAATGTTTTAACCATTCATCTATAATCGATATTTCTGCTTCGTCAGTAGTATTATATGTTATTTCTTTGATCCAAAAATTGGTCTTCTTTTTTTATGAACTCCTTTAGTTTTATTTCTTGTCGTGTTTCAATAATTTCTTGATCCGATGAATCACTCTCATTTTGATTAACTTTTACTGCTTTCATCTGTGAATCTACTAATTATTTATATAGGTGTTAGATAATGCCTGGATGTGATAATTTACGGTCGAATTATGAAAACATCAATATATGGAAAATAAGATCGTTAAATGAATTGAGAAAAATTCTAAATAGAAAATAAATATATATACTTTTGATAGATAAATGTCGAAGCCGCAGAACTAAAAAGAAAAAGAAATATCACTTATCATCCGTTGACATAATAAAATAGAAGAAAAAAAATAGAGATGAATGTTACTATGGCACATTTTTATTTCTTTTCACTTAATTTACTTGTCATAAAATTTTACCTACTGATCACTTAAATGGTAGCCAATTTTAAAGTTTTTAGTACCGCCTATTATTTCGGAAAAACTCGAATATAAATATTATTTAACTCGAAATATTGCAGTACGTTGTCTGACGAGTAATTAACCTTCGAATACATTTATCGTCAGTTAGAAATTATTCACTTTGCAAATTTTGTATTAACATAAGACTAAATATGAGAGTTCTTCATTTTAGACCATAAGAGACCTTCAGAATTTTGAAAAAGATTCAAATGATAAAAAGATCTTTTTAATCGGGAAAATATCTTTGACGACATGTTCAAAGAAATACGTTTATTTTAGTAACAGATGAATATCTATTTTATTTTTTTTCTCTCGTTCTCTTTCTCTCATAGAGCATAATATATATATATGCATACGGAAATAAAAGTGAAGTTAAATGCTAACATTTCTTTTTCTCTAATATAATAATTAAAATCGAATTTTCTTCGTCAAACACAAAAGAAAACTTTACGTGCTAAATCAAACTGAAATGGAAGTTGAAAATGAACTAGTGGTCATTGGGTAAGTCACATGCATCATTATAAAATCATTTTATTCACATATACATTGACTTCTCTAGTTAAACAGAAATGTGAAATACAATTAAGCTACCTATTTACATTATAAAGGAGGAAATAGTGTGACGTCTGTACGCGAGAGGGCGATCTAAATCTTTATCCGTACATAATCCTTTCAAATCATGTTTCATAAAAGTTTGGTGTCCCTGAAAATTGTTATTCATACGTTACTTTACCGTCAAATAGTTTCGCTCTAAACTAAAAACAGAAAAATACATCCTTTTTTGAAATGAATAACTTTTCGACGTTTCAAAATTAGAAGTAGTACTTCAAACTACTGCAGTGTAATGACAAAAATAAATGTCTGAAAGGAAATGTGCATTATGACTTTGTTATCATCTCCTTTTATGAAAAAAATATCATGAACGCTTTAAAAGCAGAAAAAAACACTGATTTTCCTTTCATTGTTGATCTGTTTGATTTAAATTATGACAAACATGCAAATTGTAGCAGATGCTAACAAACATTTCATCTTTTTCACAATTAAGGTATGCTCTCCTTATCAACTGAAAAAATTTATATCAGACTTCCACTTCTTTTATATACAGAGACTAGTCTCTAATTTGCGCTACTGACTTTAGCTGTCGTTTATTCTAACGACAAGAAAATATTTAAAATCTAGTTTGATACTTCTATATTGCAGCATCAGTTTCTGGAAAACACTAGTCATAAAAAAGCGATGGATATAATCTACGGAAAAAATTGTACACCTTTGCCTGAAACTGATGAAAAACTTTAATACTGGATCTGAAATAACTTCTTTTAAAAGAGAAAAATTTTGAATATGACATCAGTAAAGATCTGCGAAGAACTCTTATGACCAATAAATATAAGATAACATGTGTTGCATGGATTAATAACAAAGTAACAATAATAATAAAAAGTATTTCAACTGTAGAGAAGAAAGATTTCATGCACATGATTTATTTTTTATTGTGACTCTGTAATAAAGTTTTTTGATGGCTGTGCATTATAAATATTAGGAACGGTCATTCGCGCCGACGAAAAGTATTATTAATTGCAAGTGCTATTGTTGTTTTCATAATTTTAACAATCGGTGGCGTCTTTCTTGGGCGATATTTAAGTGAGTCTTAACTAAACTGATTTAGAAAATTGTTTATATTATTTATGTATTTATTTGAAGCAATTAAAAAGAATGATGACAAAAGCGTTGAACAAGATACATCGAAAATAACAACGACTACGGGTAAGACAATAATAATCGTTTAGTATTTATCTGTATTATCAGTCATATTTATAAGAGAAGTCATACAAATAGTTAAATCTCTTCGTCATCAATAACTGAGAGTCTCTATGACAAAAACAATCTTTGTAAGACTAGTTTTGAAAATTACATACATCATATTAATATGACATTAGATTGATAATTATCCGATTTTTTAATTTGAATGAATTTCAACAGTACCAATGGACGAGTAGAAAAAGAAAAAGAAAACATGATACCGCGACAATGAGAAGGCAAACTACGACAAGAGGAAGAAAATATACAAAAAAAAACGTACATTGATTTACAGTTGAGCAGATTCAGACATTTTTCGAGAATTCTAATAAAACCATCACTTTTTTCTATATCGAAGTTAAGAATTTATTCTAAGACTCCCATGATGCTAAGCTTCTCTAAATACTACGAGATTCGCTTGCTCAAATAAAAACTCTCCATCAATTGACCGAAAGAAAGAGCGAGAAAATATTTGTTCCAATATTTAACCCTTTACGACCGACGGTCCCTTCCAGAGGACATTACAAAAAGGAATTTAAAAAAATATAACGGCACTCAGTTCCAACAACGGATAGTTTTTCAGATTAAGACAGTTTGATAGTCTATTGGCTAGCAAACAAAACCTTTTAAACTAACATCTAAAAAAAATAGTTAAATTTTTAAAACTCAGATTTTTTTACCGTCAGCAATTTTTTTTGAAGATATAGTCTATTGGTGGATACGATGCGCATCTTTCTTTTTGTCAGTGTTATCGATCAGTACTGTTACCGAGTATCTTATGAGACCAGGCTTTAAATTTTAACATGACTTGTTAGTGAGATATGGTGCTCAAAAAGATATGTCCATTGGAAGGGACATTCGGCCGTAACGGCATGAAATACTGTATCAATGCAGAGGGTATGGATGGGTGTGAGTGTGGCGTGTGTGTGTGTATGTGGGTGTATGTGAGAGTGTAGCTGTGAGTATGGCTGCTCTCTTTCGATCAACAAAGGACACCCATGCCCACATCACCACCGACATCCACACCCACACCCCACACCCCACACCCCACACCCACGTACACGCCGCACCACACTCTAGTCATATCCTTACCCACACCTACTGAATAAAATGTAAGGTTCATTCATGTCTCAATTTAAGTCGAAACTGTTTTACAAAATTTCATGCTCCGAAATAGTTAAATATTGTATATTGAACTGATGAATATTTCTTTACACAAAATGTATTTTCTTCTTTGTTATATAGAAAAAAAGTATTAAAATATGTGTATGTTGAACAATATATTATGATAAGAGTAAAATAAATAGAATTACTTATATAGGCAGAATTTGTTTCGGTTAAAAAAATTAATAAATTTATGCCGTTAAGGCCGAATGTCCCTTCCAAGGGACATAGCGTATCTCTTGAAGAAAAATAAACTAATTTTTTTCGCCGGTAGTATGAGCATACGGAGGGTCCATAACATCTATTCTTGTCACCAGCGTCTTCCTGTGATAAAAAAAAAGCCCCTCGGTCGTAAAGGGTTAAGACAATAATAATTAATCATTTCTATACTGATTTGAAGACAATCAAACTATATGAAGAATTATAGCAGATCTATTTTGTGATCCTATATTATTTAAAACCGTTTTCTTACATGTATTCATGAACAGATTTAATAACAACAACAACAACAACGGCTATAACATCCAATACTGATTCTCAAAATAGTATTTCAAAAACGAAATGTTTGTATTTTTTTCAAATTTTTACGTTGAATAAATCTATTTTTCTTAGATATATCGTATGGAAAAAGTGAATTCGATATAATACCAAGTCGAAATTTTCAATTGGATTCTACATTAACATGTAATAGTGAAGATAAAATATTATATGATGGATATATCACAAGCATCAATATATCTCTCGATACTTTCTTTAATAAGTTCGGTACAACCGATAATCAACTTCACTTTGTTACAATACTAGATAGCCAAATCTTATCTACATGGAAGGTTACGCCACAAGATAATCTTCTTTTTCATACATTTGAAATATCACCATGGGAATTAGTCGTTAAATCAGGTTCTTTTTTATGTGTTGCGACAGATAATGGTGATACCTTATTAACGGGAGATTCTAGCGTAATCGACAACAAAATCAGTGCAACTCAATCAGGCAAAGCTGTTTCATTTCCAAACTATTTTACTCCATATAATAACATTCAATCACAAGGGAATGAAGAAAATCTTGGCATTGCATTATCATTTATTATTGTTCATAATTGTAAGTTATTTAATTGATTGCTTTATTTATTTATAAATCTTTGTAATAAAGCTATGTGGAATGTAACAACACCAGCAACACCGACAACAACAATTATAACACTTAAGCCAGATACAAGTAATATTATTTTAATCTATAAACAGATTACTTTTAAAATGTTTTTTTCCTCATTGGAATCGTAGATAGAAATCCATATTTATTGGTTAACTGAGATAAAATTTAATTAAATATATTTGTCGTTGACTTATATAGTTAGTATTGTTGAATTATTTGAACGATTAGTTAAACAGAATCTTTTCACCTTCTTATTGTTTCAAGCTTCAAGGAGGTATACAAAATACATAAATAATTGATTTCGAATTCATTTTCACTTTGTTTAACAGTCGAATCTTTATACTTATTTGTATTTATATCAACCACTATAGTGACATCCATAATCTAATTCATCTTTGAGTGTGACTAGATAATGTGAATGTGAATATTCTCTTTATCTCTCAACGGTATTCACAACCAGTGACGATTTTTGTAGACAAATGGTCTTTATTATGAAAATTTTCTTTGCAATTCTTCTACCAAAAGAAAGCTCAAATCAACTCGATACTACTTCTATTATAAGAAATCGTAGATCCGTTAGTGTCCATATACATACAGTATGATATGACAAAAAGAAAGGGTGGGTCGATAGAAACCAGATTAGTGATTGATAATGATGTTAGCAAGCATACCAGGCTCTCCTAACCAATCAACACATCTTTAATGATTGAATTAATTCAATGTAAAAAATAATTCATTTATCTTTAGAATTGTTAAAAAAAGATTCATTACATATCGATTTTATCTTGAATTTAGACACCATTTATGGATCTTTCAGCGACGATGTGCTCAATGAAGGTATTTCATTAAACTCCTTATTTTTATACAACCGGGACGATGAATGCCGTGAAACAGGATATCTAGTTCATATTAAAATACAATTCTGCGCGCCATTTCTACCGGAAAATACATTAGATGGTGATCTTTGGTTCTTCATAGTAAGCTCAGATGGATATATAATTTGGAGATATTCAGTAAAACTCTTAAATACATCATTGATTCAATCATTTTCATTTCCTCAACATAGAATATTACTACGAAGCACCCAGTATTTAGCAGTTGGAACATTTTCACGGAATTCTGATAGAGATAATACAATATGTTTACGAAAAACAGGAACTGCTTATTCATCCGAAAATATTGATAATACCACTCTTGATTTTTTTACATATGTGAATTCAGAACCGATAGAATCCAAAATGGGTATTGCATTGAGTTTTGTTATTCTTACTAATCGTAAGTGATTCATTCATTTTTATAATTTAATTCTTATTTTTTTCTATAATAGACGAAACATCGCTATTCGACTTTGGTGGTCCAGATATTGGATGATCATTTAATATATTAACTTGACATTTTTATCTAAATCTAAACATTTTGCTTTATACATTCTTCTAATTTTATTTTAATCAACAAATATAATCTCATTTGCTTGCTTTTGTCAAATCATCGTTTTATGAGATTTATTGAGAAAACAGTTCGATCGACTAGTTAAAAGGAATCAATTGGATTAGTCTGAGAAAAAGTCAACATATCTTGGCTTGAACACACGCTCGTAGATGAGAGGAAAATAACAAAAAAAAATGTGAGCAAAAAAAGTTAAATGAGCATCTGATCGATTGAGTGATATCGTTATCGGCACAGAAATACTATCATCAAGTATCATTATCCATTTTACTAAACTGATTCTATTTGATGCCCAGTAAGTAACAAAAATAAATGTGGAAGATTTTATTAATCAGTTTTAGTTGTCATGTTACGTGATAAAAACAAAAAAATCGAAGCAAACTTTTGTTAAAACTATCCTAAAACGTTTTTGTGAACAGCGTATTAATACATCCATTCTTTTTCTCAAGAACATATTTTGAATGTATCGCTTTTATCACCATCAACTCAATGTCATTGACTATAACAAAATCCAAGAAAACATATTCCTCTTGAAAAACAAATCATCCAAATCCTCTTTCTTTTTACGTCCGTACAGTATGAGAACATATTCTATTCCATTAATTTTATTTCTTTTTCCTTCTCGAGTCGTGATATTTCTTCCAAAATAAATCCTGATTTTAGATGTTGTTTCAGCACTGCATAGTGATACAAATTGTTTGCTTCCGCATTCGACTTGTATACTTTCAACATTTATATCATGCTTTGTATTTATCACAAACTAATAACAGACATGTGGCACTGCTTCATTCAAAATCAGACTTGAAAAAGGAAATGAATTAGTTTTTTTAGTTTATGCATGATATTACATTAAAGTAAACATGTAGACGAATAAAAGTGTTGTTTGAATGTGCATTATTTTTGTAGTTTATAAGAAGTGAGAAGATGTATTGACTAAGTTTCATGATTATCATGGTTGATAGAATTTGTAACTGTCATCACTCATTTTCACATTCTCTTAAAAACATAAAAATACAACTTATTCTTTTTGTATATCAATATCAATGCTCAACAGATGTACTTCCGCATTTTAAACATATAATATCATACAGCATTTCTAGTCAACGTCATAATGCCTATTTTATACTTTTGTCTATGAATAAAAACGATGTATAGCGAAGCGGATATCAAAGTAACCATCCTGCTGTGTATCAGAATTCTTTTTTTCTTTCTCTTAAAAGTGATTTTCAGCCGGCGTGTTAGTTGCAAGATTTTCTATGCAGTAAGAGCGGATTTACTACCCTCACTACTTATCTTGAGGGTACCGTTAGTGAGCAGAATCATTCCCTGAACTGCAATGCGCATTCGTCTCCTTTCTCTTTTTTTCTCTTTCTCATCTTTTTCTTTTGATTCGCTCTATGAATATATTCATGAATAGGTAAGTTGTTTCATCACATATACCATTGGCGCTACTGATCATGAAGTTTTACGTGAACTTAAAGGAGTGAATATTTTTTTTGAATAGATAAAAAAGAGGTCACTAACCAGTCCGTTCCGACGTTTTTTTACTATTTATAAAATTGTCTGCTTCTCATAAATGATATAATTCATTAGAAAAGTTTTACGATAAAAAAATACTGTATGGATTTCAATTAAAATAATATATAAAGTCATAATGATTTCATAAATTCATCATATCTCTCGTCTACATGTAGTGTTGTGTAATGCGTCAATCATGCTGATTAATGGGAAAATGTGATTATCAAAAATAAGTTATTATCGAGAATAAAACATGTCAATTTCTGAAAACAGGAAAGTCCTGTAGATTTTTTGCTATGTGTGTAAAGAGAGTTTTTTGTCGATTTTGTTTCTTGAGAGATGTAAGTTGACTCTTCGCATAAGGAACCATCTTGAGGGTGTGGGTGTTGGTGTAATCTTGACAATTACCCAGACCCACACCAACACTCAACCTACCCACACCCATCCTTTTTCTGATTTTATAAGATGCTGCCTCTATGATTTGTCTATCTATGTAATTTGTGCTGATGAAAAATGTTTTTGTTTTAGAATTCTATTAACCATCAATGCAACAAGATCTGCTTAGACAAAGGTAAATTGTCCGTATGTAAGAAAAACAAATAAATTCGATTTTCTTCATAGTTTTTTTCAGCGAAGAAATGTTCGCTTTGGCACTATATTGGTTATAGCTTGTTTAGTAGTCATATTGGTATTGGTGACTCAGTTTGTTATTTTATCAGATGACTCGGACGATGATAACAATGAAATAATCAATACTGAAACAACAACAAAAGGTAGGGATTGTCGATTATATGATTTCAAAAATACATTAGCTATCAATTTTTTCATCAGCTGTTGACTACTGAACATTGTATAAGTCTGTAATCTTGCAGATTTTCTGTTAAAAAAAAGAGAATCGTATTCGATGATTAAGTTTCTCGATCGAGTACAGGATGCATTATTAAATAGTAAATATGTTCGGTTTTATTACCATATCTGCGAAAATATTAATTTCTCACCTTAAATCATTTCAAAAACGATACACCCTTCTTTTAATTTCAAATGGATGTTAAGTATCTGATATTGGTCTCTCCCACTTCTTCATATCACTGAGAATAATTTAAAAAATAACGTCTAAGTTTGTTTTATTATTACAAGAGGCACGAACATCTCGTCCTATTTTGCATTCAAAGATAATCAGTTTTATTCTTAGCATTGTTCCTTGCTTATGCGTCTATTTAGATAACATATTGAATGAAGCATCTATCGGTAAATCAACAACTGATCGTTCTACACAGACGACGTCAGTACATAAAGGTAAATTTTGAACCATTTATAGCAATTCGTAGACTGAAATTAATATTTTCATTAGATTTTGTTTATAGTAGAGATGTACAGCTCACACTCATATTGAGCGTTCATGAACGTGATCTGTACACCCCTAGTTTAGAGACTCACAATAAATAATTTTTACTATTGACATGGCAGTGAAAACGTTTCTTCTTAGAGAATTTTAAGAAACAATGTGCCTGTAGTAGAACAATGTTTTCATTGCAAAATATGTGACATTATTCTATTAAGATACGAGATTTTGTAATGGATAATTCTAAGATAAATCATGAAATTTTGTCAAAAAACTAATGTTTTTTGTCAATTAAAATTTTATGAATATCATTACTATCGACATCCTGAGTGCTGATTAAAAAAGGACTGAAAAAACTAGCTTACACTACTCTTTGCATCATGCCAGCAAAGACTGTGAATTGGTTACTGACGACTGTCTTACAATTCTGAAAAGAACGTCATTGCTGGCCATACTTCTCAAATAAACTGCCTATGCACAGATACGCAAGTTCTCGTATCTTGATCAGTGATCACTGAAATATTACTAATACTGATTCAATAGTGACAATGAACATCGGACAACCATAGTCGATGTCTTTGTTATTTCCATTTTAATAACATCTATGTCAGGTTTTAGAAATGACACTCGCACTAATATAATCCAGTATCAGTGACTATCTGTCAGACTTTTAGAGTTTCCCTTTCGTAAAAGTTGTCAAATGTCATAATTGTGATAAACAAACTACAATAAAAGATAAACATCGATAATAGATTTTCACAGTTTTCAATTTGCTTATGAGTGTTTCAGACGACATGTGTATATATCTATGAACAAGAGCTCTTACTAATATTTATATATCTTACAAATTTCGTTATGTTGCGAAAAAAAGTGATCATGCTTAGTCCTTTCTCTCAATTTATAAAAACGAATATCAACGTCAGTTAGATATCACATTGTAGTCAAAAATAGAATCATCTGTCTGATGATTTTATATTTATTTTTACTTTGATTACATAGATACAATGGCGTATATTTCAACAACATTTCCATCGAATCAGTGGATTATAGATTCACATCTTATACAAGAACGTGCATCATTTCCTGCAATAAGCACTCAAAACGGAGACATACTAGTGTGCGGAGGCTATATTGAATACGAGCGTTACCTTGAAACAGACTCATCATGTGAAATCTATTCGTCGTCAAACCGAGAATGGCGCACAGTTACCGATCTGAATGTAGGACGAATTGGACATACTCTCACGTTGCTCCCAAATGGTAGAAGCATATTAACTGTCGGTACTATGGATAATATTGATGGTTGTACAGCAGAGATATATGATATACAGACAGATAAGTGGGCATTTGTACCAAATATCATGAATATACTTAGAGCGAAACATACGGCGACACTTTTACGAAATGATCAGGTATTGATTGTTGGCGGATCAATTGCATTCACCGGTATCAGCTCTTGTAGCGTTCAGCTTTATATTGCATCGTCAAATACGTTTATTACCACAGGCAGTTTGAATACATGTCGATATGATCATACGACAATATTGTTGAGCGATGGACTCTCAGTACTGGTTATTGGTGGACGACACTCAATACATGATATTAATGGTCCTCCTCACATCTCGATGCCAACAGAAATTTACATAAACGGTTTCTGGTCCTACATTGTAGGTGACATGATTAGCAAACGCTCTCACTTTGCAGCTGTATTGTTGTCTGATGGAAATGTATTAGTGGCTGGTGGTATCGATTCAAGTAAAAACGCAACGTCGACTGTTGAGATATATAATTCAACCACCGAAACATTCTCACTTGTTCAACCAATGGCGTGTGCACGTTCACATTTTACACTTACACGTTTACCATCGGGTCAAGTATTGGCAGTAGGAGGAAAAAGTTCCACGACAAATAACTGCTTACGCTTCTCTGAATTGTACGATCCAAATAAAAATCAATGGAAAAGTGATCGTCTGTTGAATAATATTCGCTGGGGTCACAATGCCATTCTTCTCAATCATAGTGTATTAATTATTGGTGGCTCTGCTAGAGAACAAAATGGACTTATACGCGCTTGTGAGAGATATGATCTATAAATATCATCTTTTCACAAGTTCATTTAAAAAGACATGATTAATTTCTTATTAAAGCTGTCTCAGCGCTCAACTTTATATGCTTTTTCTTTGTATTAAGCTTTTTATGTGATAAATATTTTGAAATAAATTCAATTGCTGCACAGTCATATGCGCAATAATGTTATTGTATAAAATATGGTCTCATTTTCGATATAATACTTCTAAATGGAAAGTTTAATCTTTGTACGGATAAGAAAAACGGATAAGATGAAATGTTGCTACTAAAACGAGATTTCTCTTCATCATCCTAATTCTATTCAGATCAGAAAACAGCGAGGCATATGATTTATAAAAATCTTGAGGGTGTGTGTGTCGGTGTTGGTACGAAGGTTGGTATGGAACCAGTTAAACGACTCAATTCTTCTCTACCTACATTTATCACTACTGATTAAACTTTATCAAAAACGTTTTTTTTCTATTTGAAATAGGAGAGTAGTTAAATTTTATTCTTATTGATCAAGTTCATTACCTTTGTAAAAAAAAGATATAAGTTATTGCCAAACTATCAAAATTGGACGTTTTCTGACGTTAAAAAGATGTGCTCCGTTTTATTTGCAACTTTACTCGAATTTTAACCGTTATATTGAGCTTAAAATACTCACACTAACTACACAAAATAGTGTTGAAATAGTACCGATATTGACTTGTACTCACAGCTAATCATGGATATACATCGGCATCTATCATCAAACACTAATATTCACTGCGTCAGTCATTAAATTATCAATACAATTCTATATGTACTTGGAAGTATATCTACTAGCATATGAGTATACAGAATATATGACACTAATTATTCGCAGAAGAAGAGATTGACTTGGTACTATAAAATTGTCTGTCATATAAACAATATTTTTCAACTTAAAACTTATATCTATATCCATGTAGCTCCTATAATGCATATACATTTATCTCAATAAAATTGGATGTTAGGTATAGATGTTAAAAACGAAACAATACAAAGTCTTAAGAAACTCTCTAATAAGTTCTTTCCCTACTTTTAAAATTTATTTTAATCGTTAGATTTCCGAAACTAATCATCTTTACTCAACTGATGATTGTAAAAAAATTTAAATTATTTCATTATGCTTCATTTGTTTCGTAATCAATATTTTGGCTTTTCACTAACGAGATATCGAAATATCAACGATAAAAACGTTGATAGCCAAAATCTCGACTTCACAAAATATAGAGTGCAAAATACGGGCATAATGATTACCGATAAATAAAATATTGACGTAAAAAAAGACTGTATGAAAGAGTGAGGACAAAAGGATGGGTGTGGATGAGGTTGTTTCATTGTTTCAAAGTCATTAGTCAAAGTCAGACCTAGATCACAATTAGATCATACATGTTCACGTACACCCAAATCTGTACTAATCTACTTTTACATATATGGGCAAAATCATTTGTTAACGACGTGACTTCGTAAAATTGTAACACATATATCTCAGTCTAATGAACTTTTTTGGGGTTGATTTTTATATATTATATGTATGTTAGGCTACCCAAGATACCCTGAAAAAATCAGCGCTAAAAGCTCTGGTTCACAGAAGTTATTGATGAAACAGTAGCGTTAGCGACGTAACGTGAAAAAAAACATCAACTTTCATTTCATGTATTTCAATTGTAAATTTCAGCGAATCTAGACGTTATCTTTGGAAACTAATTAGTACATTTTGTACACGAGTGTTGAGACTACAAAATAACTATCCAGCGTTTTTTTAATTACGATTAAGTTTTTCGATAATTAGGGTTCATTGAGCGTTAGCGACGTGACAGAGTACGACTGTATGAAAAAACATCTGCTCGGATAACTAAACAAAAAGTTTCTAATTAATTCCAAAAGGTATAGATCTATCTTTAGAATCGAGAGATTATATTGACACAAAAATTTCAGTTTCGCAAACTCATGAGAACCCTAATGGGTCATTTTTTAAGAAGGAAATTTTATAAAACCGATTTGGCTAAAGATTTTATCGTAGATGTAGGCTATATTGAATAGTAATCCATGAAATTTTGAGATGTTTTTATCATACGGTTAGGCGGATATTCACTAATTATTGCTTAACTAATTAATTAACTAATAATTCAATTCAATTAATAGTCAGTCGAAAGAGGAAACATTTTTACATACGTCTATGGTCGAATAAACTTTCTAATTAAAATGCTCGTGTAAAAAATTAAGAAGGAATAAGAGAGGTGAATATCCTGTTTTGCATGATTTTCCCATATACACAGTGACCAAGAACCTTCAGCTGCATCTAATGTATAGCCATGTTCACCAGTCTTTACCAGAGCTAGACACACATCATAGACATAAAACTAATCAGTTCAACTTGATTGTTTTCATCAATTTTCAATATTTTTTGTCGTCGTTTTGTTATTTTCTTTTTCTCGATCCGCCTCTTTTTTCTCTTTTTTCTGAAAATAGTCAATGTAATGGGATATCAGCAGTATTTGAAAAAGTAGTTTTATCGATAGTTAAAAAGGATAGATTAACATATTTATAAAATATTTTTACTTACGTTTAATAGGCATTGAACTTATTGAATTGTAACCAAAACAAATCTTTTATCATTATGATGCATCTCTTACAATAAAGCATTGTACGAATATTATATTGTTAAAAACAAATATCACATTAAAAACAAAATAAAATCAACAACAACATTTAAATACATTAATCGCAACTTGCACTTAATAAAACTCTGATACGTTCTGTATCAGGACTAATAAAAACGAGATCATCTTTACCATCGTGGTTTAGATCGGCTACTTTCAGCGATCGAAAGCATTGCTTCCCGCTGCTTTCACTAATACTAAAAGAGATTTTGTTGTGATCAAAAAATATCCCAAGTTTTGTTCCGAGATATATGGTTATAGTCTGATTACAAGTCAATATAGCCAAATCATCGATCGAATCGTTATTGAAATTGATTCGAACAACTGATACTGGATAATTATCTGTGTGATAGATTTGTTGTGAGAAATTTCTATCTCCATCAGCAAGTAAAATATGTAATGTGTTGGATTCAGGAGCAACAAGTGCCATATCATCTAGTTCATCATCATTGAATCGACCTTTAATGATTGTTTGTGGCTTTCCATGTATAATATTTCCAGAGATGTTAGACGCGCCTGATACATCTTTCTTATAGGCTATGTCAGTAAGCGTAATTACTCCAATGTCATCGCTACAAACACTTATATCCTTGTGTTTTCCGTCGTTATCAAAATCACCGATGACAATTGACTCGACATGGTGCACCATGTTCGTTTGTACACGTGTATATGCATACTGACGCCCATCACCACGGTTTAATCTAGCAAATAAATCACCGCCACCGCTCAACTCTATTATTGGGCGGCTACCAATAAGCAAATCAATAAATCCATCATCATTTAAATCATTAGCTTCTACTACGTGAATAATACTATTGTGAGCATAACCATTAGATGAATTAAGCGTGTGAGGCACTGTCGCGAATGAACCATTCCATGCGATGCCAAAAAAGATGGCTATTTGCTTCTTTTTTGATAATGTTACGGCTAGAGAAAATAATCAGACAATCTTATATTAACTAAATTGGCTATTACGGTCAAAGTAGTATTCAGGAAATTTTGAACAACGTCATTAACGTGCTCTAGATATTTTCGGGGGGAGGGGGGGGGGCGTGAGGAGGGGAATCATCATGGTGGAAAAATATATTTTCTTTGCAAAGAGCTTTTTTTTTCGTACTTCTCTCAGTTATTTGTCTTCGTCTATGGGAAGAGTGGCAAACGAGGGAGGGGAAAGTATTATTTATTTCAATTCGTTCCTCTGGATATACTGCTAGTCCATGTAATGCGATACTTTAATTGATCAAGTTTTTGAAAAATTTTGAAAACTTGTCGTAAATTTTAGGACAGAAAAGCTAACGTTTACGGAGACTTAGAAGACGATAACTTCTGGACTTCGGCCGCTTGCAACAACCTTTAATGAAACATCAGTAACTCCAAAAGCAGGGGGTCTTCCATCCTCTACGCTCCCTATGTCGATATGCCCCTGTGAATATTTATCGTTTGTATATGAAAGTTGTCTGTTTAAGTTCACAAATAATCGTCTTTACCTAATGATATAAGATCAATCACAGAGAATATATTTTCGAAATTTTATGTCGCAGTTAAAGTTTGTTTCTATAGTAAATGAAAATGTCAAATAGAAATGAGTAGTCAATTCTACATATTTAAGGAAATGCTTTATTTATAAATATATTCTGCGAAGTATAAAGATGCTTACCTATGTCTGGAAATGAATCATTATTGAAATCAGCGGCTGTTATTCCCCAAGGATAAGATTGATTGCCGGTTGGATAGATTTGTTGTGCTTGGAACTTTCCGTTTCCGTTTCCAAATAATATACTAAATGTGTGATTGCCATGATTTGTCACCGCTAAATCTAAAAATGAATCTCGATTAAAATCATGAATGATCAATGACTTTGCATCGTGGCCAATTTCGTAAGCTGCAGATTGATATATCAGAGTCATATAACAACTTTCTAAAATACAAAAATTATTACCAGATAAAGTTTTACTATCTTCTGTAGTTTACGTATTGATGTTGTTGTTGATTCCATTATTGGAGCATTGCTTACTACAGTTGTAATTGGTACAGTCGGTGATATATATTTCGTATTTCTTTTCTTAATCAAAATGACTGAAGTTACAACTATTGTAATTAGAACTAATAGACATAAACAGATCATAATTATCCGATCTGTTCGATTTTTTGATCTTGAACAATAACAAATATTTTGATAGAATAGAAAAATTTAATCTACTTTTGTTACTTACATTACGATCTGTTCTTGAACTGGACTGGCATCGATCTAAAAGATGTTAGCACAGTAAGAGTAGAAAGTCAGTACACGAAAACAAAAATAATAAAATGAAATTACCTCGACTGTTGTTACTAATTCATTGGAAATCATTTGTGGATTTGCATCATTTACATCGACTACGACAACGTTTGATTGTGGTATTACTTTAGTTTTCTTTTTATAATTCAATATTTTGATTACAATTACTGTTATCCAAGATAAAGCATAATGTAATACTTTTGACAAACCACCAAATAGCGCTAATGTCTTTGTTATAAAATAAAATTTATTAAATGTTGATGGATAGGAGTATTGACAAAATCGAGGAGCACACTCGTCATAATAATCTTCAAACGACGCGTTTTCAGACCATTTTTCAACAAAAATTTGACTAAAAATCGTTTCAATTGCTCGATTTAAAGAGGAATGTGCGGGAGCAGTTAGTATCGTAACTGGAAAAGAGTTCGCAAAATAAATCGATGTTTGAAGTAGATATAAACATGTTTCATTGAAAAAACAGGAGAAACTCGATTGTAGAAGGGAGTTCATAGGCAGACAACCGGTGCGAAAATTTGGAAGGGTTTGTCTAGCTGGTCGATTCAATACTCGATAACGAAAACTGGAATATTTTGAACAATTCAACTGCAATGCACATGAACAATTATCTTCATTGTATATTTTCGGTAAGGTTAAGGAGTGTAAGGCATTCTGATGAATCTTCGGATCTAATAAGTCTAGTTCACTGTATGAAGATAAACTATATCCTCGACTAACAATAAATTGCCAATTGGACGATTGTCTTGTTGCTAGTTGATTTGCAACATTTGTTACTTGAATTAATTTGACCAGTAACACCAATTCATTAGCGATTGTTCTTTTCAATTCTTCCATTGATTCTTTTATTTGAGTTTCAAATTCATTATGAGAAATGACACGTGCTGTAACGAAATCTTTTTGAAGCCATACAGTTAATGATGAATCTAATATTTTTCCAGAGATCGTACACATCTTTGATACTGCTTCTAACTGTGCTTTTATCCAAGTACGAAAATCATCATCATCACTATAATCATAATAGTCCCATGCGTTTTGACGTTCGCCATTCCATATAGTCTCAAATCTATCTGGTGAGAGAAAATCACTCGAACAAATTGAATGATTTTGAAGTTCTATCTGTGTGATAAATTTGTGATATTTTACTGTAACATTACTACAGAAACATTGAAATGTCAAAGGATATTGAGTTATTAATTCTGAATATCTTAATAGAGAGGGAGATTTGACATTAACGGTGATTGTGTCTTGTGTTATCAATGTATAAATAGCAATAGTGAGTAAGGATATGAACAGCAAAGTTAAATAAATTCGAGTCAATCGTCGATTTCGCCGAAGAATCTTTTCATCTTGTGATGGAGGAATCGTAGGAAAGAGATCTAATTCGCGGATTTTCTTTTTGATCTTCATAATTAAAGCACCACAACGATTACGAAAACCTAAACATAGTTGTATCATTCAGAGAAGATGACTGTATTCGAACACACAGAAATAGAAAATATCGACAATAAAAATATGGAAAAGAGAAGGAAAATATGCCCGAAACCTAACCTATAAAGCGTGAAAGTTTCAATTAATTAAGTCACTAAGATACGAAAGAAACTACTATTAAACTTGTACCATTATTGATCAGTAAATGTTGGTATTTTTTTATGTATACCTGTACATACCAGTAGATATCGGCGAATAGCTATGTTTATGTACCCCTTTCAGTTTTTTACGATTAATATCGATAGATAGTAATTGTCGATAGAGTGGGTACCGATAAAGTGAGCAAAATTTTATATTTAACTTTGTCCTTGTTGCTTTCACCGATCTTTCGCCCATTAGATTTATTGTCGGCGTTTTCTTTTTCAATACTCTTCTTTTTATATTGTACTAGCATATTCACTGTCTAAAAATTTGTATTGATTCCTTTACCTGTTCTGATAGAAGCTGTTTCTCCAGTTGATATTGTATTATTTTGTCGGCGAGAAATCATTTTAGTCCAAATTTTATATGATAATTTGATTGTATATCGTGTTACTAACTGTAAAACAATATGAAGACCACCTAACAGCCCAATAATTGATGTAATAATATATATTATATTAAATTGGCTCTCATAGGTATACTGACAAGTTAATGGATAACATTGATTAAAATAAGATTCATATAAACTTTGATTACTCCAGTTTTGAATAAATAATTTATTTGCTAAGATATTGATTGGATCATATGGACTTTCATCTATTGATAACAATGACAAATTAAGTGTAGAAAAATTTGTAGGTGACACTACAGAATTAATTTCACGTGTAATGTAAGACAAACATGTATCATTGTAGAAACATTCTAACGTCGATAATAAAACAGATCGAAGAGGAAATAATGTTTGATACATTCTTGGAATTTTTTTAGTTAGTGTACCTTTTCGTATAATTGTTTCCAGAACACATTCATTAGGAAATAAAACATAACAAAGGCACATATTAGAGGGGCTCTTACATATGAATCTATAGTCAAAAACATGTCTAGCAGGTTTTAAGGAGAAAACTTCATTGTTGTATATATCTTTTGTAGATACAAAATCAGAATTCAATGGTACAATCAACTGATTAACTTCTGGATTAGCTTGAATTAATTCTAATGCATGTTGATATGATCCTGGAACTGTTCTTTTAAATTGTTCAATAATTGAATCAACTTGTGTTTTAAATGAAGAAAGTGTGATAACTTTATTGGTAATAAACTTTGTACGATAGAATGATTGGAGGCTATCGTTAACTGTTTGTTGAGCTATGCGACAAAGTGTAGAAAGAAGTTGAAAATGAATTCGAGATTGATAACGAATATCATTTGTAAAAAATACTCTCACTGGAGATTCAATAAATTGAAGTTCAATCCAACGAGAAAAAATAAATTCAGACGAACATATCTCATGATAATGAGGTGTTATATTAAAAATAAACTGATTATATTCTAATGATGTTTGACTACATGGACAATCAAGTGTAAATGGATATTGAGTGTAAAGTTCAGTAAAACGTGTTACTGATGGAGAGTTAACAGTAACATTGATCGTATGAGATTGGTCAAACACAGAGAATATGAAAATGATTAAACTCATTAATAGTAACACTAAGTATAATCGAGTTTGATAACGCTGCTGTTGAAGAATAGTTTCATCTTCCGAACGTGGAATGCTTTTGAACAAATTCAATTTAAGTAAATTTTGTTTGAGGAATTGAAATAATATTTTTATACGCATACATATCGAAGTTGCTGAAAATAAACATAGGCTCAGTATGACTATACAGAATTATTAATAGTATTATTCAAGAGATTGCATTCGATCTGTGGATCCAACTCGAGCAGGACATATCTGGTGTTAGATTATGTCGAATTATATGGGGATTGTCGATGTATAAAAATTAAATACAGAGCTTAGATAAACTCTCATCTAGACATTTGAAAATAAACTGACTATAGACATGAAATACTTTGATTGATAAATTAAATGAAAACCTATCAAGTACTCTTTTCTATATCGAAACAAACAGCAAATATGTCAAGAAAAATTGGAAAAAGAAAGAAAACATCAATACATTTTTCTTTTTCTCTATATTGTTCGTTCTTTCTCTCTAGTACTATCTCTTCATAGTTAGAATCGGTCCGGCAATTCGGTTCAGAACTGGACCGGTTTAAAAGCCAAACCGAGTCAGTCAGAACCGTCTTTTTGCCAACTCGTCGTTATTAAATTTTTTTATATAAAAAACGACATTTTATTCACACTTCTAGGTCGAAATATTATAGGAAAATGAATTTTGAGTTCGGAATAAAAGAAAGGGAAAGTCGGCGATATATTCACAACAGGTAGCGTACAAATGAACTTTCTCATGGTGATAAGAATACCTGTTAATCGTACGTGTCTGTAGAGCTAATCGGTCGTGCCTTACAAGAACTGGATCATGAAGGTAGAAAGCCAGGAACATAAATTTAGATCTACACTGCCTTTTTTATAGCCCATCTCATAAAAATAAGAAATGCGACGATGACAGTGAAGTACAGATACACTACCCACCAGTGTTATCATGTTACTGGTGATCAGGAAACTGATGAAGCTTGACGAACCTATGGTGATGATCGATGTCACAGTGCTATTAGTTTCTTTTAACAGAAAGATATCTGAATAACGAAATAACCGATCATCAACGTAGGTTCCTAAAGCTTCCACTAGTCACTGATAGTGTGATGTCACTAAAAGTGCGACGCATCGTCATAGTTGCATGTGTAATTAATAAAAATTACCTGGGGCATCTTCTATTACGACGATCTGTTCGGCACGTGCTGGTCGTTTACAAATTTTCTTCCGAATCATTGGCCATATTTTCAAAATGAGAATGGGTGTGATAATTTTTAATGCCTTTGTTAATCCCCCAAACAGACCAATCAATATTATGAGAATATTCCAGAAACTATAATGTTGAATCTTTCTATAAGAACATGATTTTGGTGCACAACTTTGAAAATATTTTTCATACAATATTCGATTTGGCCAAGATTTAACAAGCATTTGACTTAGTAACATTTCAACTTTCGAATTTGAGTTGGATGAATTGAGTTTTTTAAAACTTTGTGATGAGTTGCTCACCTTATCGATGAATGTTTGATTGTACAATGCTTCAAGAGTAGAGTTCATCAGTGCACTTAACATATAACAACCGGTTTGAAAACCAGAAACAGTAATGTTGTCATATGTTGCAAGACCCATACACGTGGTGGCAGTTGAACTTGAACAGACACAACTAGACTCATCTGTAAATGTGTAGTTTATACCAGGGTAGGGAACAAAACCATTTTCAATTGGATATCTATATTGTGTGACTGGACGAACACTAGTTATTGAGGCACCAGTCATAAACAAACTTTGTGCTGTTGTGTCTTGAATAAAATTTAAAGTTCTTAAAAACGCTTTTGGTGTTCCCTTAATAAATTCGTTGATGAAAGAACCAATCTGATCTTGAAAAAGTTTCGGTAAAACGAGATGAGATTGGATAAAATGTGTAGCTTTGAATGATTGTAACTGGTTACTCACTGTCTCTTGTGCCACTTGACAGAGTGAACGAAGTGTTTGAAATTGAAACACAGCTATTCGACGAAAATCAATTCTATCTGATTTATTCCAGCTATGTTCGTATAAACTAAATAGATGGTTGATCCATTTGTCTGATATAAAATCACTATAACATAATTCATGATAATCAGGTTGAATCTCAGTGAATACTTCGTATTTAACCGTTATATTTGAACATGGACATTGCAATAATGTTTCTTTTATATATTTAGAAAATTCAGCAAGTGAAGGATGTTCAATTACAGTTGTGTTTGTATAGAATATAACTCTGTAGTATATAATAAAAAATACCATTGATGTAATAAGAAAAATTAAATAAAAACGAGTTGATCGACGTTCATTTTGTATAGTAGTTTCATTTTGAGAACCAGTATTGAATAGATTCAAATGAAGTAGGCGTAATTTGAGAAAGTCAAAGAGACGACACAAATTCATTTTGATTGACATTTTTTCTTTAATATGATTTAGACGTCAAAATTTTATATTAATCTAAATAAACGATTGCTTTAATAATTTCTCAAATAGTTAGCAATTCTGTTTAGCTCTTCTCATAAAATGTAACAGCATCATAATAAAGCAGAGATATCCATCGCGGCGCGGCAACTGGTATAAATTTTTTTTTCAAAACTCATGAATTTAGATATATTTTGGATGTTGGTGCGTACTGCGCTGAAAAACTTGATGAGCTTAATCTATTAGTGGCAGCAGCTTCGGTTTAAATGGGTCAGAGTCTTGAAAAATCAGAGATTTTAAAAAAATACCATCGTGGTAGTTTTTTTAGAACCGTCTCGATGCGGTAGTTGCACTTTCTCAATCGCTATGGACATCTCTGTAACAAATCGAATACTACTTTTCATTATCTTATGTATATAGAGAAGCAACCTTCCATTAGAAAAAAAAATGTTTCTAACTCCATCGTGATCAGATCATTATTAACATAAAACTACCTTTTTGTTCGCAAAAAATGCCATTCATTTAAATTTGCGGACAGTGTTATCTTATTCCTTTCTTAGTCGATACCAAATTTTTCTATTTATTTTTTTTATTAAAAAAAGCGTATCTCGCAAATTGATGTCCAAAGCATAATTAATGAGGATTTATGAATGTACTGAGCCCGAGCCCTGACGAAGCCTCTCGGGCTCAGGCTCGAGTGTGAGGATGGGTGTGGGTGAGTGTAGGTGTGGTGAGTGCAGGTACTAACCTTTTTACTCACTCACATTTTCATCCACACTTTCACCCACGTTCTCACTCATACTCTAAAATTTGATAAATAGTAAAAGGAAAGGATGAAAAAGTCGGATCGGGTTGATTGATGATCGTTTTTTACCTATTCAAAAAAAAATATTCACTCATCTAAGTTCACGTAAAACTTTATGGTCAGTAGCGCTAATGGTATATGTGATGGAGCAACTTACCTATTCCTGATAGATTCATAGAATGAATAAAGAGAAAAAATTAAATAATATAAAAAAGAGAGAAAACATAATGGAAAGAGAAAGCAGATAAATAAAATAGGCATTATGACGTTGACTAGAAATGCTGTGTTGTGTTACATGTTTTAAATGCGGAAGTACATCTGTTGAGCATTGATATTGATATACAAAAAGAATAAGTTGTATTTTTATGTTTTTAAGAGAATGTGAAAATCAGTTGTGATATTTACAAATCCTATTAACCATGATAATCATGAAACTTAGTTAATACATCTCCTCACTTCTCATAAACTGCAAAAATAATGCACATTTAAACAACACTTTTATTCGCCTACATGTTCACGTTAATGTAAAATCATGCATACACTAAAAAAATAATTCATTTCCTTTTTCAAGTCTGATTTTGAATAAAGCAGTGCCACATGTCTGTTATTAGTTTGTGATAAATACAAAGCATGATATAAATGTTGAAAGTATACAAGTCGAATGTGGAAGCAAACAATTTGTATCACTATGCAGTGCTGAAACAACATTTAAAATCAGGATTTATTTTGGAAGAAATATCACGACTCGAGAAGGAAAAAGAAATAAAATTAATGGAATAGAATATGTTCTCATACTGTACGGACGTAAAAAGAAAGAGGATTTGGATGATTTATTTTTCAAGGGGCATATGTGTTCGTGGATTTTTTTATAGTCAATGACATTGAGTTGATGGTGATAAAAGCGATACATTCAAAATATGTTCTTGAGAAAAAGAATGGATGTATTAATGCACTATTCACAAAAACGTTTTAGGATAGTTTTGACAAAAGTTTGCTTCGATTTTTCTGTTTTTATCACGTTGTATCACAACTAAAGCTGATTAATAAAATCTTCTACATTTATTTTTGTTACTTACTGGGCATCAAATAGAATCAGTTTAGTAAAATGGATAATGATACTTGATGATAGTATTTCTGTGCCGATAACGATATCACTCAATCGATTAGATGCTCATCTAACTTTTCTGTTCACATTTTTTTTGTTATTTTCCTCTCATCTACGAGCGTGTGATCAGGCCAAGATATGTTGACTTTTTCTTAGACTAATTCAATTGGTTCCTTCTAACTAGTCGATCAAGCTCTTTTCTTCATAAATCTCATAAAATGATGATTTGACAAAAGCAAGCAAATGAGATTATATTTGTTGATTAAAATAAAATTAGAAGAATGTATAAAGCAAAATGTTTAGATTTAGATAAAAATGTCAAGTTAATATATTAAATGATCATCCAATATCTGGACCACCAATGTCGAGTAGTGGTGTTAGGTCTATTATATAAAGAATAAGAATTAAATTATAAAAATGAATGAATCACTTACAATTAGTAAGAGTAACAAAACTCAATGCAATACCCATACTGGATTCTATCGGTTCTAAATTCATAAGAATATTAGATTTATAATTAATTACATTAACACTTTTGGCTGAACGAGCAGTTTCTGTTTTTCTTGTGGGTGAGTATGGGTGCGTTCTCTTTCTTTTTGTGTACACCCACCCACACCCACACCCTTTCTAATAGCATATCGTTGGAGTCAGATAATCAAATTTATTCAAATAAATAAAGTAAGAAAAGTAACTGCATATACATACGACTAAAGAAATATCAAACAAAAATTCACGAAAGAACGCTGGTATATCAAAAAGAAAAAGACTAATTAATTTAAACTAAGTTGTTTAACATGCGAATCAGAAACATATGAACAGATTATTAATGGAAATACAAATATCAATTCAATCTCATCATTATTGTTGTTGTTGTTCAAGAGTTGCTTCTGTTGAATTCGAATTAAGTGACAAATCATCTAGTTGAGATACTGTTTTTGTTGATAGCCAATTTTCACCAAGCCAAACAAGAATTTTCGCCTCATGCTCAGCTAAATCAAGATAGACTTCATTATTTTCAACTTTAACATCATAATCAAATGTCCATTCATGCCACCAACCATTAAAAGGTATATTTGGTACACGATAATGAGCTATTTAAAAAGTTATAAAACGATAAGAAAGAAAAAAAACTTTAGAAAATATTTACCAAGAAAATTTCCAGATATATTCACAACAACAATAACATGTTCACCTGAATTAGCCCTATATAATAGAAAAAAAGAATAAAAAAAAAGAAAACTATTTTTCAATACCATCGTTGATATGCTAATACTTTAGTACTATGATCTTCATGAATAAAGGCAAGATTAGTTTGAAAAAATGCCTTGTTTTCTTTACGTAAAAGTACTAAACCACGATAAAATGCTAGAAGAGTTTTATTATGTTTATTAGAATTATCTTCACGATCTGCAATTAATGACCAATCGACTTTAGCAACATCAGGTGTTTTTTCTTTATATCTAAATTAAATACAAAAAAATAATTTTTTCTTTTATTCTGAATAATATATTATTGCTTACTCTCCAATTTCTTCTCCCATCCAAATCATTGGAATACCAATACTTGTCATTTGAATAACAACACCAAGACGAATACGTTTAAAAGCTTCTTCACCAAATATACATCTTTCTTTACCTAATTCAACAAGCATTCGATCATGATCATGATTTCCAATATAATTAACTACATTTGTTACACCTAAATAACCTTTTTGTCGACAATCAATACCAGCTTTCAATCGATTAATATCTGTATTATCATAAAGTAATAAATCGCGTAATGCCCAATAGAAACTATCATGCCAACCTAAAATTATGTTTTTTTGTTTATATAAAAATATTTTATATGATATTACATCCGTCCATAGGACCATCAATATTTGTTATACATGGTTCATCAGGTAAAAATTCTGCGACACAATAGAATGGTTTAGGTCCAGCTGCTTTTTTTGCTTCCTTAACAACCCAATGTAAAAAATCAAAATTTTGTATTTGACGTGCAGCATCAAATCGAATACCATCAATATGAAATTCTTCAACCATATAACGAACTGAATCACCAACAAATTTACGAGCAGGCCAAATATTATATTTTGGATCATAAAAATCTTTTCAGTAAAATATTTATTTAAGAAAATAGAAAACTTTATATCAATTACATACTATAATTCCATTCTGGTCCCCATGACACTAAAAAAAGAAAGCAGAATTTTAATAATGATCAGATATTCTTCTTACTTGTAATATCTTTTGGATTATGATGATACCAATAATCATGATCTATTTGTGTTAATGGTGATGAACAATCCGAATGATTATACACCTAAATATATAAATAATTCATATTTTGTTGATAATATCATCTTACACTATCTAAAATGACTCGAATACCATTTTTATGCAATTCATCAATCATTTCTTTTAAATCTGCTGTTGTTCCATAACTTGTTTCAATAGCAAAATAATATCTTGGATTATATCTAAATAAATAACTTTACAAAGAAAATTCTATATAAAAATATAAATACCCCCTAAAAGTTGACATTCATTTTAAACATAATTTGATAGATTTATATATAAATAGAATCATATTTCCTACCAAGAATGACTTCCTATAACGAAAAAAATAAAGAAGTAATTTTTTTTTTCATATTTCAAAATTATTTAATCACCAGGATATTCTTTAATTGGCATAAGTTCGACTAGAATAAAAACAACAGTTTGTTTTTTCCTGCTTATGAATATAACACATACTCGCATTAACACCGAGTTGTTTTAAATAGTCAATTTTCCGCGTAACATCTTTAAATTGTCCACGTAGAAGTGGATCATTTTCTCCGCCAGAAAAATCACCAACATGTATTTCATAAATAACAAGTTCTTCATCAGGTGGTAAGATACAATTATCATATTTCCATTCATATTCATCTAAAAAATAATTCTTATTTGTCCGATAGTTATTTATCGATGAAATAATACACACCAATAATTCTTTTTCCATTTTTAATTGTTAATATTCCGACAGCTTTGTGTGCATCGTCTAAAATAGTCAAATTGAACAGTCTAGATCAAGATAAACACTATTCTAATTACCAGTGCCACGTTCATCGACATCGGTCGCATACGGATCAACAAATGTATACCAAATTTCTGTAAAAGTAGCTTCTTGTTCACGCTGTCGATTTCGTTGACGAATTTCATCAATAAGTTTCGTATATGCTTCTGTTTTCTCTTGTCTTTCTTCTTGAGCTAAAACGAAAACAACACCCAAATGAAACAAAAAAGAAACTTATTCATTAACTCACTCATTTCTTTATATTCATCATCCTCATAATTTGGTAATGCAGGTTCTGGTTCTTGTTCAAACCAAGATTTTGTTACAACTATATATTAAAAAATAATGTATCATTTTCTTTTTGTTCTTTATTTAAATTATTTGTTTTTACTTTTAAATTGATAATGAAATATACCATCAGCTAAATCTACAGTTGCTCGAAAATATCCATCAGTTTCATCTTTTTCCATAACTAGAAAAATTTTCAGATTATAGAAAATAATATATTCTATTTAATATTGTCTTACGAATATCAACACCAAACATTCGAACATTTGCATTTTTTAACTATTTTAAAATAAAATTTTCGAAACACAAATGAATAAATAATATTCACAAAGACATACTCTCAAACCTGCTTGTTTATTATAGGGTGCAAAGAGTGTAAATGTAAATGGAGCCATCTCTATAAAATCTAAAAAAATCCTCGTAATAGATCCTTACTTATCCATATTAGATATTTGTACGTGATATAATCGAGAGAAGATAAGATGTACGTATATTTACTTACATTTTTTTTTTTAAATTAAATAAAAATTTGTCTTAAGATTCTTCTACGTACACTTGATATATTATAAAAATACAGCTAGTACAAAAGAAAAAGAACGTAATAAAATTCAGTTACTATTTCTACTAGCTGAATAGTTGATGTTATGAAAAAGAAAAGGAAAAGAAAAAAAGAAAGTGTCGACACAACAACCAAATAAAATTAGAACGTACATGCAAATGATAGATAGACAGAATGTATAGATCAAACCCTGGCTGATGTTGTATATATTTTTATTTTTACACCAATCATATGAAAGATAGCATTTTGTAACTAAATCAGTACATTCTCTGTTCTTTTTATTTAAATAAATGAGGTAAAATTGTCTTAAAAGGGAAATAAACCTGACAAAAACGAACACATGAGGATAACCTTGATAATAATCGTAGAAGAAGAAAAAATCAATTAAAATAAACATCACAGTCAATATTTAATAATCATCAGGTATATCAGGAATATTTGCTATGACATTTTTAACCATTTCAGTTTCTCCACTCGTTATTTCAGTAGGCAATGATTTCATAGCAGGTGATATTTGAATATCATCATATGTTGCTGGTCGTTCTGCTTGTTTTATTCTTAATCTAAATAGAAAAAAAAATTAAAAGAATACATCGAATTTTATACAATAACTTACAAGCAAATAACCAATTTCTGTAATTCTGATGACAAGTTCGATGGTGGTTCAGGTACCCATGTCATAATTGCACTCATAATACCCAAGGCATTCATTTTAGCAAATGGATGTTGACCAGTTGCTATTTCCAACTTTAAAAAATCAAATAAATATATTTTTAAAAATTAAAATTTTCTATTTACTGTTGAAAGACCTAATGCCCACATGTCTGATCGTATACCATAACCTTCCGGTGCTTGAGATGCATCAATTCGTTCTGGCTAGAAATAAAAGAAAAACGTATATCATATATTAATTTCGTAGAATTTTAATTTACAGCTAAATAAACTTGTGTTCCTTTCATCATAGTATGTGCAACTGAATTTGTCAATTGACCAGATATACCAAAATCACATATTTTAAATATAACAGGATTTTGTTTAATTAAAATATTCGATGGTTTAACATCTCGATGAAGTATTCCTTTTGATTTAAGGAATTGTAATGCATCAACAATCTAGATAGTATATTTATATAAGAATAAAAATAGATTTTCTATTTCTTTCTTACATGATTTATCATTCGTTTAAGTAAGATATCAATATGTTTTGTTTCTTTTATTTTATGCATCGTTGTATAGAATTTTTCCATTGATGTATCACATGCTTCCATACATATAACAACTTGACTTTCTTTCTATTTTTTGATAAAATAAAAATAATGAATAATATAGTAAAATTATGCAAACTTTATCAATAAGTCCAGCATAAAATCTGATAACATGTGGAAAATTACATGAACCAACTGCACGAATTGTTTTCAAATCAGTTGTTGCTGTATAATCAGCGAGATTATTTGTACTGGGCATTAAACCTAATCGCTATTTTATGAATAAATAAAAATAAATGAAAATAGTTTAAGATAGCCACGTACTTTAACAGCCATTTTAATATCTCGATGATTTTGCACTTCAGCTAACATAACACTTCCATAATTTCCAAATCCAAGTTTTCGTATATCAATTAAATTTTGTACATTAATCGTTACTTCTTCACCATTATAATTAATCGTTGCTTCTTCACCAACATCTGGTAGCCTAAAGAAAACATATTAAATTATTTTTTCAAATAAATCTTATATTTTTTTACATATAAGTATTGTCTGTTGCTGTTTCAACTTGATCAACTGTATAATCAGGGAATTCTACTCGAACTAAAATATTTTAAGAATATCGAATATTAATTAATGATCAAGTTTCTCTTGTAATTTTACATACATTTAAATTTTTCTTTTCTATCTCGTTTCGATACCGATTTTGACATTTTGATAGTTAAAAAAAAATATGTTTCTGTTATGTTTTGGTACAACCACACTTAATTATGAATCATAGATTCTAAACATATATGAAACTAACCAATTGTAACATAAATTACAATCCTCTATTTCGTCTGTTTTCATTGGTGATTGGTTCCACATGAAGACAGCAGAATAGTAGTAGTAGAAGAACGAAAGAGAATAGTTTGTGCTGTGCTTTGCTTTAGATAGAATATGTCTCATGCAAATAATGCGTAAGTTTTACTGTTACTTTTTCTTTTATGACTTTTAAAAATTTGATTATTTTATATAGAAAACAAAGATTTGAAGAAATTGCAAAAACCAATAAAGAAAATATACGACGAATTTTATCTAATGAAGAAAATCAATCAAATTCCGATTCATTTGATGATGGAAATCTTATTGAAGAAATTCTAAATAAAACAAAAAGTTCATTTAATACTGGTATATTATATTACAATACATTCTTCCTTGCATAGCGAGAAAAGAAAATGCTTGACATTTTACCATTATTTTTTGTTTGAAATGCATGAAATAGTATCATTACTTCAATATGGCATATTATGCCAAATTTTATAGATTACAAAACAAAAAATAATGTTAAAATTTTGAATTATCAAACATTTTTTTTTCAACCTTTGGGAAAAATAGATGAAATAAATCGCATAGTTTTATATGTTCAATTGCCTTGTATTTTGTAAATAGGATCATCCGATGATCTTGGTCGTACTTATCAATATCTAGTAGATTCATTATCAACTGGTGCTAATATATGTTTAATATGTATTGATGTAATACAAAAAAAAGATGCAGTATGTATTGAATGAAGTATTTACATTCGTAATTTATATTTTTAAATTTTATTAAGATTTGGAATTGTTCATGTTGTTATTCACCATTTCATATAGTTTGTATACAACAATGGATTAAAGATGGAATCTATCAATCATCAGCAACAAATAATAATGAAATAAATACTTGGCATTGGTAGAATATGTTTAAATAAAATAAAATTATATGAAAAAGTTGCTTTATTATTTCTTTTTTTTTGTTTTTAGTCCAAAATGTCGAACTGAATTTGATCCGAAAGATACACCAAAACGTTATCTATGTTATTGTCATAAAGAAATCGATCCTCAATTTGATCCATGGTTAATTCCTCATTCTTGTGGACAAACATGTGGTAAACGATTGATACCTGAATGTGGTCATATATGTTTATTACTTTGTCATCCTGGACCATGTCCACCATGTCCGAAACAAGTTAATGTTCGTTGTTATTGTAATCAATCAAATCCAACAGCACGTCGTTGTGGTTTTAAAGGTTGGTCATGTGGAAAATCATGTTCGAAATTATTATCTTGTCAACAACATCGATGTGAACAAGTATGTCATACTGGACCATGTTTACCATGTCAAAAAACAAGTATTCGGCCATGTCAATGTGGCAAAACAAAAGCAGTACGAAATTGTAATGAATTAAATTTTCAATGTGATCAAGTAAATAAATTTGATTTTAATAATTATTATTATTATTATTTTGTAGCCATGCAATCAATTATTAAATTGTCAAATTCATCATTGTAAACGTATATGTCATAAAGGCGAATGTGGTTCCTGTCCTCGGCAAGGTCTACGCACATGTCCATGTGGAAAAACAAGTAAGATGATAATTGACTACTGAAAATTTCACTTATGTGTTTATATTTCTGTTTAGAATATGAGAATTTACCATGTTCAGAAGACGTTCCAACTTGTGGTGATACATGTGATCGAAAGCTTGATTGTGGTCTTCATCGATGTTTACATCGATGTCATACTGGTGATTGTGAATCAGTAAGAAAACGACTTTTATTTAAAAAACAACAAATAAAATATCTTTCTATTAGTGTCGACAAGTGACTTTAAAACGATGTCGATGTGGTTTAAAAGAAAAATCTATTCCATGCTGTCAAGAATATCTTTGTGAAACAAAATGTACACGTATGCGTTCATGTGGAAAACATCCATGTAAACGTAAAGTATGGATAAAAAAAA